ACTGTCTTCCCTCACTCATATATAGTAGGTGTCTAGCCAGACTTTAGTAAGCAAGGACTGGTACTGCTACTACCAATACTGCTGCTGCTAATACTACTTACTAGTGTGTAGCTTTGTGATAATATTTACTTTACTGTCACTGACTGTTTTGTAAGTCAGAAGTGAGGCTTATGAAATTCAGCACTGGACTCATATCCCCTCAATCTCGGCAAGACGTACAGTAGTACTGGTGTTGGGCACTGACGCCACCAATTTGTCAGAGGTGACGCTGATTAAGCCAACGCTAGGGCTCATATCCCCTTGATCTCAGCTAGGTGTGTGGATCTGGGTTTACTATTACGGTTAAATACATGCTTGAGGCGGAGCCATCAGCGGGTAGATCCAAGCGGGACGTGGCGACAGCTGCCTTGTGGAGAGCTCGAATAGACGACCGAACGTTACGGCTAGGCTCAGGAGCGTCGCAAGGTACTGTCATTTACCGTCTGCAGGCTACCTATAGAATTGGTACCGATACAGATATAGTTTCGAAGTTACAGAACGTCTCCTGTCTAACTAAGGGTATAACATGTTCCAGAATTTGCTTATCATAATAGCATGGCATTTCCTATACTGTAGCAACATGAGTGGTAGGAAATGCATATTATATTTGCAATAAGCATAGCTGACGGGAATATGCGCTTACTAGATTTCTCGTCCTCCACGGAAGTGATCGGAAGAGCATGCTAGTTATGCTGGGTTGATTTTTCTCGCAATACGGATGACGCAGGCCAACAGATGAGTGATGTAACCATTGAAAGTCAATTGATAAAGCTTTGTGTCGGTCGAGCGCCCAGATTGGCTTGTAAGCAACCAATAATTCCCGGTTTTTCACGCCCGGTTTTTTTCGACCATCTAGATTTTTGTTGATGCCCAAGTTTTGCAGCGAACAGGTTGGGCGCGAGTTAGGTTTTAAGTGATAGTCGACTTCCCGCAGCAGCAACCGCATTCTCGCTCCTACCTAATCCATCCCTTTATGCAGACACTGTATGTAGTCGCAGGTGCATCCTCAGTAATGTCTTTACATTTTGTCGAATGTTCAACTTGTACTTCTTTTCCCAGGCGAAAGTGAATGCCGAGCGCATTAAGAAGGCAAACGAGCAAGCCAGCAAACTGCTGAAATAAGGATTACCTCTTCTTCGCTGTCAGCAATTTTATCGCCGCCAACTTCGATCAACGCGCCCCTTTCCGACCCATGACCACGGTCTACAACCTTTCGTTTATTTCCATTTTATACTATTTGAAGCGGACATCTGTTCATCTTTTCTGCTAGATTATTTTGGTCACCAAGTCTCGCCGCGCCTCCCATACATATATGCAGTTTATCGGACACTGGCTCCAACAACCAAATCAATGCGTCCTTCAGAACGTACCCCAGCCCCTCCCTCCCCGCGCCCCGCCTGTGAATCTGCTTCCAACACAGCATTCCATGTGTCTCTTCCAATTCCTGTAGCCCCGAGTGCATCTACCTATTATATTTATGCCTTCGGGTTTCAATTTGAATTCCAACTTTCGTACGAAATAACCCTCTCCCTCTCTCCTAAGAACTGCCTCGTGCACCAATTTATCTACTCCTGTCCCCCCGTTGACCACATTCAAAATAGTGTGAAGTCATATACTCCCAAAGCAATGTATAATCCTATTTACAGTGATGACAATCCGTGTTGTCTCATTTATCTTAACAACTACTGGGGGAGTGGTAAGGTCACATTGTTATAACGACGGGTTTAGCGTCGCTAGTGTTATAACGATGACATCTGACATGTGTCACCGTCGAATTACGCCCTGTTGGACTCCTCAAGGAGGAACACAATAAGAAGGGAATGATTCTGGAATCCACCCGGAAGAGGGTTTATTGTGTAAAAAACCCGGAGGAGCTGTCTCAGGTGGCTGTGGCCGCGTTCTTTGTCTAGCCTCGGGGCAAGCCCGGCATTGGAAGCGGACTGGCGTCCGCTGTTCGGTGTGGCTGCAACTCG